AGCATGAACACGCAGGGAGTCATGGGCACTGGAGCCCTGGGTAGAAGTGACGTATCTGAGTAACGCTGAGTAAATGAACAGACGTGTCTGGGAAGGGACCGACAGCCCTTGGATGAAAGCACGAAATCAGTGAGACATTAAACTAAAATATCAACTGTAACCCCTAAAAGATAGTTCATGCAATGCTGCTGATTTTATGATGTTTGTATTTCCAAACGTAGATGTGATTTGTCAGAATGATTAATCAAGAGGCAAAATAAAAAGCAGATATAATCTTAATATTAGCTTTAAGAATAAAGCACATGTTGAGGCTGATAGGTGACGTGGTGATTAAAGGCACTGAACTCCCACATGGCCGACTGCTGTTCGAATCCTGGACCTGGCATCTTGCTTTCTCACTTTTCATCTCTCTCTTCCTCTCACTCTGTCCCTCTCTGGTCAAATTAAAATAAACAAAATAAATATTTTAAATAAAAAAAATTTTTTTTGGAGAGGTTTTTGCGTGTGCGCTCACCAGACAGACAGAGAGAGACAGAGAGATAGAAAGCGAGAAATCACCCCCCAGGGGGGATGGCCACGCCGCAATCCCTTCTCCTCCATTCTCTTCTCGGGATCTTGGGCACGCACGCACACGTACCCGGCGTGAGTTTAAGCCACTGGGTCTGGGACTCGAACCGTGGTCAACTACGTGGGAGTCCAGCGACATAGCCATTACGCTAACTGTTGGTCCCATAAAATAATTCTTAAAAAAAGAAAAAGCAAATGTAGATGTTTTACGAGGAATTAGCTACTTGCTTTTTTTATTTGTTTGGCATCCTTAAAATAGCCCCCACATATACAAAGTAGAAAGACTCAATAATAATCTGTCAATCTTCTTTACTAATCTATAAACCTTATGGAAATTTGTTTTCTTTAAATAAATAGAGACTCTATAAACAACCAAATACCAGATGTTCTGTTGCAAGGGTCTTTGCAGGTGCGGGGACATTTGTAATAGTTTTTATGATTTGACTCTTGTCTATCTTGAAAGAACTGCTCTACACTACATTCCAAATTCAGCTTACTTGGTCATTTGTATAGGTCAAGTTCGGTGGCAATATCATCAAATTTTTTCTCAGAAAAGTGAGGGTTATGCACATGCCTTTTCTCACTATAACCTCCTCCAGCGTCTCAAAAAGAAAGTATTTGGCACTTCATATCACCCCTTCACTTTTTTCTTTTTTGGTTTTGCTGTAGAATACATGTGCTCGCCAGAGAGAGACAGAAAGTGAGTAAGAGGGAAATCACCCCCCCCAGGGGAATGGCCAGACCACATTCCCTTCTCTTCCATTTTTCTCTCGGGATTTTGGACACACATGCACATGTGCCTGGCGTGATTTTCAAGCCGCCAGGTCTGGGACTCAAACCACAGAGTCGGCCATGTGGGATTCAGCACTTCAACCTCCACGCCACTTGCTGACCCCATCCCTTCACTTTCTCCCACTGACCTTGTCATTAAATTTTTCTCTCCAAATTTCTCTTATTCTTCCTTTTTGTTTTTTGGGTGTTTTTTTTTTTTTTTTTGTCTTTTCCTGATTTCCTGCAAACCCACTAAGGTGAAATAAAGGGTTGGCAACAATCCCCCAAAACAAATTATTTAAATACAAAATGAAACAAAGTTAAATTATAAATCCTGACTTAAAATGTTAACATCATGTCTTTCCCGATTCTCTCTTCACCGCAATTATCTACCAGTGGTCCCTGCTTCCACGGGTCCTTCACTGTGAAAACAGACCTCTAAAGTCTAGGGACTCCCCTATGTAGGCGCACTGAGGGCGTCTGAGTTATACCCACTCTGCTTCATGAGGCGAATAAATATCTCATATTCATTGTTTTCGTATTTGTATTTTGTTTTATTTTGTTTTGCTGAGGCTGGCCTCAAACTCACAATGTTCCAGCCTCAGCTGGGATTATAGGTGCATGCCGCCACCCCTGTCTTCGTCTTTAAGTATGATTATTAATGTTGTCTCAAATAGGTTTACGGTGATATTGAGCATTACTGTCTTCCCTGTACTAATTATAACTAACCACTGCCAAGGTGCCTGGGGCTTATGGTGAAAGTTGCTAAGAAGTAAAATCCACAGCAATTGAAAGAGGCTTAGAGAACAGAGTCTGAACATCTGGGAGACTCGTCGCAAGCATAGTAACACCCACTGGGCCTACGCAGCAAAACTCTGCATTGATAGAAGAGGGTGGTGACTGCTTTGTCTAACAGATAAAAAACTGTATTTTCAAAAGTCAAATTAGGTCTTTTGCATGCCTAGCAAGTTCCCGCCACAGTATGTAGTTAAATTAAGAATGACTTTTCCAACTAATAGTATGACCTGTCCGGTTGTGAGTCTTGTGTCTTTCTTCAGAGTTTAGTGAGGACCAGTCTTGAAATATAACATCTAATGTGACCTCTTTTTCACAGGGCCCTTTCTTTCACTGGACTCTCACTAAAAATGATGAAAATGCAAAGAATTTTAAAAAGCAGGATAATGGGGCAAGAAGATGGTGTAGTGGTTACATTGCTGGACTCCCCCAGGGTTGATTACGGATCAAGTCCCAAACCCAGTGCTTTGAAGCTCACACCAGGTGCATGTGCATGTATGCCCACAGTCCCGAGAGGAGAATGGAGATGGAATTGCGGCATGGCTATCCATCCTGGGGAGTGACTTCTCATTTTTCATCTCTCTATCTCTCCAGCAAGCACATGTACCCTATAGCAAAAATCTTTCCCCCCAAAAAAGTAAGTTTAAAAGCAAAATTAAAATAATTTAAGAAAAACATTGGCAAAGGAGTAGTTAGATGGGTTAGACTGAAGTATATATGGGCCAGGCACAGCAAGTGGCATAGTGGTTAAGGTACTGAACTCCCACATAGCTGACCACAGTTCAAGAGCTGGACCTGGCAGTTTGCTTTCTCACTTTTGCTTTCTCTCTCTTTCTAGTGAGTGCACTTCCCTTTAGCAAATTTTAAAATAATAATAATAATAAATAAAATTAAACAGATCATTAAAAAAAAAGAATATGTAGGCCAAACAAGGGTGCAGCAGTACTGAAGCTAGACCCACATGCAGACTCCCTGGTTTGGTTTCCTTGCCCCCGACCCTGCCCCACGTAGAATGCACATGTGCCCATGATCCTGGTAGGCTGAGGCTAGCAGTAGAGCATAGTATGAAGACACTGTCAAGGGTGCCTTTCTCCCTCTCTTTCTCTCTCTCTCTCTCATATATATATATAAGAAAGAAGGGACCAGCAGATAGTGTAATGGCTATGTTGCTGGACTCCCATGTAGTCGACCGCAGTTTAAGTCCCAGACCCGGTGGCTTGAAACGCACGCCGGACGCATGTGCGTGCGTGCCCAAGATTCCGAGAGGAGAATGGAGGAGAAGGGGTTGGGGGGTGGCCATTCCCCCTGGGGGGTGATTTCTCACTTTCTCTCTGTCTGTCTCTGTCTCTCCAGCAAGCACACGTGCCCTAGTGAAAACCTCTCCAATAAATAAATAAATAAATAAATAAATAGATTTTGAAAAAAATAAAATATAAACCTCTGATTCCAACTAGTTTTTAAGAAAACTACTGCTGCTCCCCTAATCTCTTTGGGCTTAGCCAAAGCTCTTATTCAATTCTGTCTCCCAACCCCTTTTCTTGCTTCTGACATTTACCACCTTCTGGACCCTGTTCTTCATGGAAGGCTGGGGCCCAGAGCTCTCCTTTTATCTTTCCCTCCTCTGGTGGCCTTCTCACTGTCATTTCAACAAGCTCAAGCCCCTCCCTCTTTTTGACTAACACACACACACACACACACAAACTATTTTGCACATTCTTCTCCAATATGTTCAATATATTTTGGCCAGCATTTTTTAAATGAAAATCCAATCGTGTCCTCATGCTTGTCTCTGAGGGCTTGTCACCTGACCTGTCTGCCTCCAGCCGCACCCCCGCTGCCTGCCCTCTGCAGCGCTGGGCCTGTTTCAGCTCTTCCTGGCATGCTGCTCTTTTAGTGCCTTTGAAAGTGGTGTTGTCTCTGCCTCAGACTTTACCTTGCTCTCATTGCAAAGATACTTTTCCTTCAGGTACTAGTTTATTTTTATTTTATTAATCTGTTTCGGGCGCCCACATTCACCAGAGAGACACAGAGACAGAGAGAGAAAGGGAGAGAGAGAAAGCATCCCCCAATGGGGCATGGGTCCATCATAATGCCTTCTCCATTTTTCCATCCTGTGAGGGTCTGGGGTACACACAAACACATGCCCACAGTGTTTTCAAGTCACTGGGGCTGGGATTTGAACTGCAGTCAACCATGTGGGATCCAGCTCCCTTACCCATTAAGTTATGGGACCTGGACCAGGTACTAATTTAAAGATCACTTTGGATTCCCTGCCAAAGTGATCGCCACACTGAGAAACTGCAACCTATATTATTTCTCCAAAATCTCTTTTGAGGGGTAAATCACTCAATCCCATATTTTAGCCATAATCTAAAACTACCAACATCCTCTCGGGATCTTGGGCACGCACGCACACGCGCCCGGCGTGAGTTTTAAGCCACCGGGTCCGGGACATGAACTGCGGTCAACTACGTGGGAGTCCAGCGACATAGCCATTACGCTAACTGCTGGTTCCCCTACCCTTTTTTTTTAAGTAAATAGCAAATGCATACTATCTCATAGCAGCAGCTTGTCTGAAATATGATCAATCTTTCCAACATAGAACTGAGCAGAATTCCTTCGAATTCCAAAGACACGTACATCGCAAAATAATAACTTTGTCTTACTGCGAGTGCTCTCACGAGATGTAAAACCTAGGGAACATGTTATTCTAACACATAACGGGATCAGTTCAAAATGTTAGTATTCAAAAATCTAGACACAGATAACCATTCTGAAGAAGGGGAAACCCCCAACTTCTCAAGAAACTCAAGCAACTGAAGGGTGGATCAAAACTATGCAGTTCCACAGCAAATAGGAGTACTTACGCATGTCACCAAAGGCCCCCTTTGTCACTTTGGTAGCACGTAACACCACTACCGTGAACTTGTGTGAGTACTGGTGCTCCACCTGGAAACAAAATGATAGTACATTTCAATAAGCTTCCAGTTTACAATCTCATTGTTTCCTTGAGACTAATTAAAACTCTTCTAGTTGGAAAGAAGCAGCATGCCCACCAGAAACATTCTTTGCTCCTGAGGCTGTTCTTTTTTAGACTCTCTCTTCTCTCCCACCACAGAATCATGCTTTCAGATGTCACTACAGCTTGACTGTCTGCACTTCTTCTCTGCCAGGTTGACCCAGCACTTGGAGAAAAATGTAAATCAAGACCACAGGCAGGCTCAGAGGACAATTGGGCTTTGTACTGGTTGACTAAAACCCTGGCTCAGAGAAGCCAACGTGTGCTAAGATGTTTGCATCATTCAGGTTTGTTTTGTTGCTGCTGTTCGATGACTTTATCAATCAAAAGTCTTTTCCTGCATGACATTTCCAGTACAGCTTTTAAAATCCTTTGCACCCAAGGCAACAACCAGTAAACTACTCATGTTCCTTATCGACCATACGTGACAATGTTGCATGCAGGTGACAAATATTAAGAGGTAAAAGACTGCAGTAAACTTCTCACCTAAATGGAAGCGAGTTACCCTACTAAGTAACAGAATGGAGAAGCATGAGCTCAGCTCATGGACCAACTAAAAAGGTTACAAAGTTTTCATCAAAAATGCAAGCATGTGGTTGTCTTAGTCTTAGGTGAGGCTGCCAACTTTGTTTTTAAAAGGTTTACTTCAATGGTTAAAAAAATCCATAATTAATTAAAAAGAGGCAAAGATATTGACAGCCCAGAGAAGTGAATCATGGCCGTCTAAAAGCAAGGATGCAGGAAAAAATATAAAAAGTATAATTAGACTCATAAGAACCAGCAGTAAGGATTTGCAAGGGCAAACATTACACAGCACTCATAAGCTTCTGAAAAAAATCACTATCAAAAGAGTAACTAAAGGGGCCAGCAGGTGGCATAGTGGTTAAGGCATTGGACTCCCACATGGCTGACTGCAGTTTGAATCCTGGACCCAGCAGCTTAAAAATAATGGCAGGAACACATGCATGCTTGCCCCAAATCCTGAGAGGAGAATGGATTGCAGCGTAGCCTTCTCCCAGGGGATGACTTCTCACTTTATGTCTCTCTGCCACTACCTCTCCAGTGAGCACATGTGCCCTGTAGCAAAAATCTTTCTAAAATAATAAATACAGAAAAGAAAAAAAAAAAGAAATCAGGCCAGGATCATGTGGGGGCTTCCCAAAATCCCAGGAGGAGAAAGGATGGAAACACAGCCATTCTCTTGGAAGGTGACTTCTCACTTTTCCTCTCACTGTCTCTGTCTCTGTCTATCTCCAGTGAGTGAGACAATGCACATACCCTATGGCAAAAAAAGATATTAAAAAAGAGTAATTAACATTTAGATTCACGATAGTATCAAAGAAGAGGTAAAATAATAGATAATGAGTGTACCTTGTTTAAAAAGGCAGAGAAAGATGGAAATATTTCAAGATGATACTTTTTGAACTTTATTTGCAAAGACAAAAATCTTCAACATGCAAAAGAGTAGCAAGTAGCCAAAGTTTTATTTTACATAACTTAAATGATCGATCATGAAGAAAATTTGAATTTTTTAAAAGTGTGCTGCCTTGTTCTACAACTAAAAGGAACACATGCCCTCCTGATAAGAAATAAAGAAAGAAAGGGAGGAAGGAAGGAAGAAAAGGGGAAAAGGGCAGGTTTATAAGTGATAATAAAAATTCTGAATATGTGGTCATCATAATTTTAAATAATTTATATATAAAGCTACAATCGTCACAGCTTTTTTTCTTGAGATATATGCTTCCTATGCAAATCTCATAAAGGTTTTGTATTAAATATACATGGTTAAAAATGTACCACATGTAAATAAAGGGCCAGGGTGCAAGGGCTGAAACATGTGCTTGCTAGAGAAAAACAAAGAGATATAGAAAGAGAAGTGAGAAATCATCCTCAAAGGGGATGGCCATGCTGCAATCCCTTCTCCTCCATTCCTCTCTTGAGATTTGAACACGTTCACACATGGGTCCATGAGTCTCAAGTCACTGCAACAACCTAGTGGGCCATAGAGGATCCCGCCGCCTTAACCTCCATGCCACCTCCTGGCCTTGAATATTTATATTGACCATCAACTCTTTGGAGGCAACACACAACACAATACAGCTTCAGCTAATACCTCTGCAAAGCTGCAAAAACAAAAATTACATGGGACTTCTCCTCAAAGTTACAAGCAAAAAGAGAGTGGAGTGAAACAGCAGTTGAAGACGTTCTTACCTCAAAGTAAAGCAACAGATTACAAAGCCTCCCCCAAGATATTTGGATCCTGTTCCTAGCATGCCATGGACATCCCAGAACTCAGTAACTTGGACCAAGCTCGAACTCAGGCATCTACCTCTTGGTTTCATGATGAGGAGGGGTCAAGAGGGGAAGAGCCCCCAAAGGCTGAGCTCACTAATTCGCACTTCCCTGATGGCAAGCCTAGCAGTATTAAAGCAAAACGCATTCGACAACAAAAATCTATTTGTTCCAAACAGAGTGCGATGAGCAGATAGCGCGGTATCTTAGCACTGTCCTCATGTTGTGGCACTTCACAGTTTGTCCTTGGTAAAGAGAGAAACCTTTCACTACTCAGTGAGCCATGTTTTGGATTTTTTAAAAGAAGTCCCTGGCAAGGAACACGGATTAGAGAGAGATTTTTACCTGGTGCGTTCTCTCTGCGTTCCATGTGACAGGTTAACTTGGCGATTGAAAAAGAATGCCAGGCCCAACCCCTCCACACCTTTTCTCACCTCATCGCTATGACCCAATTTCTTGGGTCAGCTGGAACTGCCCGGGTTCCACAAAACAATGATTTTTGAGCAGTAGGTGCAGGAGAGGGTCTCTCATCATTTAACTTGGCAGAGGCAGCGTTGGAGGGAACTATAAATCAGGGAGCCTTTGAGTAGAGGCAGAAAATGGCCCTAGATCTGTTTTCAATGATTCATTTCCTTGTTGGTCACGTAACTGCCCAACTGAAGATGAAAGGGGAAATCATGGAAAATTTCACCCTTAGGAGATAATATTCATCATGCTAAACCGATGGAAGAAGCTATCCAAGTACTGTCTAACGTCTTGTTTATTATTTAATGTTTTCTAAAATGAAAAATGTTACTGGTTTTTCAAATGGCCAAATAAATTAAATGATTATAAAAATAATTCTTCAGGGTCGGAAGGTGGCATGGTGGATAGGGGTGCTGGGTTCCCACATGGCTGACACGGTTCGAGTCCTGGACCTGGCAGCTTGCTTTCTCACTCTCTCTCTCTCACTCCATCTTTCTCTGGTAAAATTAAGATAAATAAATAAATAAATATTTTTTAAAAAAAGACTTTTTTTGAGAGGTTTTCGCTATAGGGCGCGTGCACTTGCCAGACAGACAGAGAGAGACATAGAGACAGAAAGCAAGAAATCACTCCCCAGAGGGGATGGTCACGCCGCAATCCCTTCTCCTCCATTCTCCTCTCGGGATTTTGGGCATGCACGCACACGCGCCCGGCGTGAGTTTTAAGCCACCGGGTCCGGGACGCGAACTGCGGTCGACTACGTGGGAATCCAGCGACATAGCCATTACGCTAACTGCTGGTTCCCAAAAAAAAGATTCTTCATAAATAAAAAACACTGTTAATAAATTTAAAAAAAGAAATATGCAAAATGTTGGGAAAAAAAAAACCAGAATTCCATAACCTATAAAATTATCCTATAGGGGTCAGCAAGTGGTAGCGTGGTTAAGGCTCTGGGTTCCACACGGCTGACTCTGTGGTTCAAATCTCAGACCTGGCAGCTTGAAAAACATAGCAGGCATATGTGTGTGCATACCCAAAATCCCAGGAGAAAGATGGAGCAGGGATTGCAGCCTGGCCATCCCCACTAGGGAGTGATTTCTCATTTCCCCTTTCTCTCTGTCTCTCTTCAACAAGCACATGTGCCTTGTTGCAACAATCTAAAATAAAATAATCCTTCAAAAGTACGAGAGAAAAGGCTTTCTCAGACCAGCCAAATCTGGGGAGAATTTGTTGCCATTAGACCTGTCTTACAAGAAATGTTAAAAGAAGTTCTTGAAAGAGAAAAATATTGTAGGTCAGAAACTCAGCTCTGCATAAAAAAGAAGGAATAAGTGAAAGTAAATTAACAAAATATTAATTTTCTTATTCTTGGGATCAGCAGATGGCATAATGGTTATGTCGCGGGACTACCACATGGTCAATAGTGGTTGAAGTCCCGGACCTGTCAGCTTGAAACTCACACTGGGCACATGTGCTTACCCAAAATCCCGAAAGGAGAATAAAGGAGAAGGGATTGTGTGGTTATCTCCCTGGGGTGTGGGGGGGGATTTCTCACTTTCTCTCTCTCTAAGTCTCTGGCAAGCACATGCACCCTACAGCAAAAATCTTTCTCTAAAAAAAAGGAAAAATATTTTTCTTATTCTTAATTAATCTAACAGATAACAGTTTTTTTTTTCAAAATCCTAATAGCAACGATATATTTATGTATATGTATAAGTGAAATGAATGACAGAAATATGTGTAAGTGATGAGAGGAAAGAGTTAGAAATATTTTGTTACTATAAGACACTTGTACTACCTGTGAAGCTATAGTGTTATCTGAAAGTGGATTCATATTAGTTACAAATATATATTGCTAACTCTAAAAAAGGTAGCATTTTCTTAGCATTAACATGCTAAGAAAAAAAGGGAAAATATAATCCTTTCAATAAATTCTCAATTAAAATGATACAAAGCACACAAAGATTGGAAGATAAAATAGAGTCAAAGAAGGATAAAGAATGAAAAATAGGGACCAGCAATTAGCGTAATGGCTATGTTGCTGAACTCCCATGTAGCCGACCGTGGTTCGAGTCCCGGACCCAGTAGCTTAAACTCATGCCGGGTGCGTGTGTGTGTGTGTGCCCAAGATCCCGAGAGGAGAATGGAGGAGAAGGGACTATGGTGTGGCCAT